TGATGGAAGACAATCTTCAAAGCTCACAAAACTCAAAAACAATGTATCAAATCTCTCTCTCACGTGTTCTCTCTGTTATTTTTTCTTCCCTTGAAAAGGGATCGAAAATATCCTTAAATAAGGGTCTGGGGCGGCTAGGATTGATTAGGAAAATCCTAGGTGGCAAAAATAGGTTTAATGAAAATTTCCAAAACTGAATCTTCTATGGAGCAGGTCTAGTGATCGGGAACGGGTGCTTCTTTTCTTCAGAATCTTCAAATAGATCCAATTTTCCTCTTTTTTGGCCAAGTCCCATTGTGAGTTACAATCCTCCATTACAGCCTCCTTTTGACTTAAAATGACTCAAAGTAAAGTAAACGACTCGATAAAAACCTACAAAACAAAGGTTAGAATGCGCCAAAAACGCATTATATCAACGAGGACATTGTATAACTGACTAAATTAAATGTGTATGATAAATACGTAAGACAGCTGAAATGTATATAGTAATCGTTTACCAAAAACAAATGTTAGTAATTTGTTATTGCTATAATGCTATTGCTCTTGTCTTTAGTAATGTCTATCAATAGTTGCAGATTATGCCACAACCCACAACTGATCAGCATTTTTGAGGTTTATTGATCAAACGTGTGAGGTTTAGTAGTAGGACACGTTGGAACAATAGTACATAATATAGAAGCCTCTAGAAGACTAGAACAAGATAAATTTGTTCTTTCTTAATTGCACCCACTTCCTCTGTTAGAGCGAAATTAGGAGCTGTAGCAAAAATCCTTGTACAACTCTATTACTTAACCGAGTCGTTATATGGTCACGAGATCCCAGGCATTGCATGCTAGCTGTATTTATTAGAAACTGTAGCATAAATCCTTGTGCAACTCTTGGTTGTTCGAACCATTCTACATACATCACATTTGTTTTTTTTAATGACGTCGAAAAAAGGAGACATTGAAGGATGTCAAATGATAATTCGGTTCTGTCATAATTCACTCATACGTGTCACAATTATTTAAGTTTCTAAAAAAAATATTTTTAGGCCAACTTGGAAAAACTAAAGTTTTTTTTTTCAGAAATATATATTAATCTTTTCCATATTTTTTTCATAAGAAAACAATATTTTATAATTCAGAAATTAGTATATAAGGAGAAGAAAGGCAAGAAGAGCAACATGCTTGAAGCTTCTCTTCATAGGTCCTTTACAAAGCAAAATCATATCAAATTCATAAAAGGTTGAAGCCATGGCTGCATCTTTCTCTGTCCCCTCTATGGTATATATAACAACATTAAACCTTCTCATTAATATTCCATAATTTCTTTCTAGTTACTTGATAATGTTAGTTAAAAGAAATTAATTCCATTAGTAATTAAAATTAACATGCGAATGATTATTTAGATAATGGAAGAAGAAGGTAGATTCGAGGCGGAGGTTGCGGAGGTGCAGACTTGGTGGAGCTCGGAGAGGTTCAAGCTAACAAGGCGTCCTTACACGGCCCGTGACGTGGTGGCTCTACGTGGCCATCTCAAGCAAGGTTATGCTTCGAACGAGATGGCTAAGAAACTGTGGAGAACGCTCAAGAGCCACCAAGCCAACGGCACGGCGTCTCGCACGTTTGGTGCGTTAGATCCTGTTCAGGTGACCATGATGGCTAAACATTTGGACACCATCTATGTCTCTGGCTGGCAGTGCTCGTCCACTCACACTTCCACCAACGAGCCTGGTCCGGATCTTGCTGATTATCCGTACGACACTGTTCCTAACAAGGTCGAACACCTCTTCTTCGCTCAGCAGTACCATGACAGGTAATTTAGATACAAATGTATTACTGAATTGGAAATTAGACTTATGGGTAGTGGTAATTTTTCCTATTAGTTGAAGCTAGATATTGGCTGAGTACTATGAAAATTAGGTTTCAACTTAGAAAAAAAAATTAGTAGTTTGGAATACCTCGTGCCAAAAGAATTGAAAATAAATTATATTCAGGCTGTGATCGGTGTGCTTAATTACAGAATTGCGTTTTTCAAGGTCTTACGTTGCCACTTGGTAAGACTAATTTAATGGTCTGTCAATCTATAGTTTCTACACGTTCTAATAAAGACAATTTCTCTAACGTGAAGCTTCCGAAAAAATACTATAGATTTGAAGGAAACAACAAAATTTATATTTGATTCAATCCGATTTTTCAATCTCCGGAAATTCTTTTAGAGACATACCATTTTTTTTTTTTTTTGAGACATACCATTAATATCAATTATGGATAAATGTTAAGACATTTTCATTACGTTTGCATCATTGCATGCTTCCGGTTTCAATCTCCAACAATAACAGGGACACATGACACGTTATCGTCGTGTTAAAACCGGATCTGAATTTGGTAGTATAAAGTATTGAGTACTAGATGATAAAAATAAAACCATTAAGCTTATGGGAGACATTTTCATTAGCTTTTGTTAGAAAATGTGTATATTGAATATGTATCTCTCGC